AAAGAAAAAAAAGAAAAATTACATGTATATATTATTAAAATAATATATACATCTTATCTTATTTTTTTTAAAAAGTTTATTTTGCTCCATTTTTGAAAAAGGGAGCGTGGGTGGCGAGCGGTTTTTATAAATTATTGTTATTTTCTGTATCTGTCCTGTCCCTCCCCACCCCCTGCTAAAGCGAGAATAAGGGCAGGGACAGCGGCTCCTACCTATCGGTAACCCCCTTACCCGCTCCTCCCCCGCCCCAACGCCCTGCACAGTGCCCTGCACACAGTAGGCGCTCAATAAATGTTTGTGGATGATGATGATGATGATGATGAAAAAAATGCAGCATCAACGGCAGCAGCAAGCGGACCACGCGAACGGTGAGCAGCCAGAGCCTGGGCACTCATTGCCAGATCTAATCCTTGTCATGGTCTTCCCACTCCCTCTTCGTTCTCACCCCCCTCCCGTCTCTGATGCACTCGGTGGGTTGAGGGGGTTGCCGAGGATGCTTCTAGCTCAGTGTCATCTACAGAAAGGGGAGATGCGTGACAGCCACTCCATTCTCCTCTTCGGGCCTTGAATGTCAGAGTTAATTCTGCATTTGTGGGGTGGGGGCGGTCGTGGAGTCCGTGGAGTACTGAGCAGCCGGAGGGGCGGCGAGCCGAGGTGATTCGGGTTCAGTATCCTCGGGCTCAACTTTCGTCCAACGCTCCAGAGCGATGGAAGGGGGTGGCTGTTAGTCTTCAGCCCGAGCCCCATTTCCAGCCCCTTTCTTGCCTTCTCCTTCCCCTGGTTCACTAGGAAGAGGGTGTCTGGTGGCATTCTGAAAATTCTGGGATTGCTGGGTTTCACCCTTCGCGCCGGTGGGTGAAGCACACCCCTTCCCTCGAGAAGGAGGCCGGGTGTTGGAATCGCCAGGGGTCGGTTCGAGTGCGTATTCCCGCTCCCAGCGCCGCTGTGGACACGTCGGTAACCTAGCAATGCCCGGGGAGTTGCTGCCGCTGTCCGGCTCCCCTCCCCAGCCCTGGCCCAGGCACCACGTGCAGCTACCACGCCGGCCGGGCTGGGTGGAGGAAGGCTGGAGCAACTACTGGCCAGCCCTCCTCCCTCCTCCTTGGAGGTCGCTGGCGCCCTCCACAACCTCTGTGGGCTTGCAGCCTTCCCAGGTGAGTGCTCCCCAAGGGAAGGCTTGGCACGACTCCTTCCTGGGCCAGGACTGTCTGCCGCTAACCTCAGTGGCCCCCTTTTCAGGCTGCTGGGCAGGCAGACCTGTGCTTGCTTTGACTCTCCCATGTTCTGTACTTAGTAAGAATTGATTTTGCAAAGCCCATCCCCTCTACCTGTGTCACCACTCTCACTTTGACTTCTGTCTCAGTAAGGAGGTTGTGACTCAAGGCAGGCAGGTGCCTGGGAGACCAGCTAGGGTGGTGGCCTGACCCAAAGGCAGAGGGAGCTTTGTACATCTTGGGGTTCTGCCCTTGTGCACCAGGATGCCAGCCTACACTGAGATGATTCCTGCTTAGGGCTGTTATAATCCAGCCTGTCTGTGGTAGGTGTAGGGGTACAGGCTGCTGGCCTTGTCTGTTTCTCTGGATGCTGGCTTGGCTGCTTCTGCTGCAATTTAAAATGCAAAAAAGCCCTAAAGATGTTTTCTGTTTTCAGAAGCCTGTAGAGGAAATGAGTCCCAAGCATCATGAATTTTCATTTGCAGGAAGTGTCAGTGAATAATCTAGATATTTGTTATAGGGCTTTTAGTATTGCCCTGGTGCCAGTGGAGCATTTTTTCCCCCTGTGCTGAAAAAAAAAAAATGCATTTGTGGTTGTGGAAAGATGTTGGAGTAACACTCTGAAAATGATTAAGACTTTTGAATTATTGGCACTGCCTGTGTATGTGTGTGTGTGTGTGTGTGTGATGATAGTTATTTTGGAGAAAAGCTGTTGTACAGATCTCAACTCATAGAGCTACTCGGGTTTTTAAAGTCAGAAAAGATGTGCCATAAATGTTGAGAATGACCTGTTTGTCTGAAGAAATACACTAAAAAATTCCTTGTGAAGACGTGGATATACAGAGGTATTAACTTCAATGGGCATCATGCAGCAAGGTCCTGTGTGACTGTCCCTTAGGTCAGAGCACTGGGACTTTTCTGGCTGCTCTGGTTGACTAAACCCCTGCTTCTGGAAAAGCAAGACTTGAGCTTCAAAATGGAAACATGGGAATGATTCTCCCTTGTTATTGATGGGAGTCAACACTTGCTTTTTTCTAACACTGGATTCTCATTGTTTTTTTAAAAAAAATTTTCTTTTTTTTCTTCCCAGAAGCAAACTATGCAAGAGGCACCAGATTCTCTCTTTCTGGTGAAGGACCAACTTCTCAACCGAATAGCTCCAAGCAAACCGTCTTGTCTTGGCAAGCTGCAATCGATGCTGCTAGACAGGCCAAGGCTGCCCAAACTATGAGCACCTCCGCCCCCCCACCTGTAGGATCTCTCTCCCAAAGAAAACGTCAGCAATACGCCAAGAGCAAAAAACAGGGTAACTCCTCCAACAGCCGACCTGCCCGCGCCCTTTTCTGTTTATCACTCAATAACCCCATCCGAAGAGCCTGCATTAGTATAGTGGAATGGAAGTATCCTTTTTTGGGGAAGTCTTTTTTATTTTCTCTTTTACCATCTGTTTTTTACAGGATTTGCGTCCTGAAATGGCATATACAAAGTGGTAGCAGTCTGGAATGTGAGCAATGGAAGAAACTGTGTAAAAGGTTTCATTGTATATACCTTCCTATTTCATTAGGGTGCAGAGGGGCGGCTGGGTGGTATATTTAGCTTATTCTGTGTGTGTGTGTGTGTGTGTGTGTGTGTGTGTGTGTGTGTGGGTGTGTGTGTGTGTGTGTGTGTAGTGGTGGGAGGGAGTGACAGCTTGAAACTTCCGAGTGGTAGGTAACTAAAATATGAAGCTAGCCTTTGGTCATTTGACGTTAGATGGTTAGTTTAAATGCCTCAGTGTTTTTGGGCAGTGGTATACATTGAACCTATTGCAAATAAGATATGCTGATTAAAAAAAGAAGACTGCATGAGACTCTACTAGAAATAAATACATTTTTGACCTTTCGTGGAATCTTCTCATTCTGGTGTTTGGAATTTGCTTCTGAAACTCCAATTAATGCTAAGGTTGCTTCTAGCTTTGACATTTGGTTATTCTGATTGTTCAGGTAGCTACAAATCCGAACACTTGCTTCATAGGGAGGGAGCAATTTGCTCATCAATGCTATGACTTCCTGGAATTTCCTTTTGACAAGTTCCAAAAAGGCATTTGAAACATGAGCATGAGGGAACATGCGAAAGAAGAGGTTTGTGTGTGCCTCTTCTCCCCGCACCCCACCTCAGCCCTTAGGAGTTAGAGAACAGCTCTCTCAGTGGAGGAATTTGCAGTTGCTGCCTTTATAAAAAATTCAGTCTATGTCCTTGGACTGGAGTTACATTTCTGGGTGTCTCCTTTGTATTTTTAAAACTGAACTCCAAATGCCTCAGGATGGTTGTTATGTCCCAGATCTTGGAAAAGTAGGGTGCTCTGCCTGCTCACTCCTTTCCCTAAATCTGGAGGCCAGGATCCAGTTACTGCTACCCTTTAGAAACGGTTGAGTGAGGCCTTCTTTCTGTGCAAATGGCTTTCTAATTAGTCAGATGATTCATTGGTCTGGGTAAAACAAAGCATTTCCTTTTCTCAGAAGTATATTTGGGGCTGAAAAGAGGCCTTAAAGCAGTTCCTAACCATAGGAAGAAGTGTGAATCTAGGGCTTCCCCCACCACTCCCAGGATGGAGGGGCCACAATAAAAAGGGAGGATGTTGGTGACTTGCTACAAAGTGGAGCAGAAACCCTCTTATAGTTTGAGCACCTAGTCAGGCAGCTGTTTGCATGCCCTCTGTCTTAGCTGGCTATTTTCTGTGCTCACGGATATGAAGTAAAACGATCTAACTGTCTAGAAAGGTTTTGGAGAGAGCAGTCAAGTACAAGAGTAGGGTTTAAGGGGTTTTCATGTGTTTTTCCTTTTTAGGGAGTTATGGTGTCTCTCACATAATGGGGATTGTGTGGATTTTTTTTCTCTAAGTTTTTTTCTAGTCTGAGAATGAATACTAGTGTTGGCCCAGGAGGGAGCTAGGTAAAGAGGTGTGCCTCAGTGGCTTCACTGGAATCAGAGGCAGTGGTTGCTCTTAGCCAGAAAGATCTTCTTCTCTATAGGCTGCTGGACATGACTGAGTAAGCAGAGGCCTTTTGGTGGGGTCATTAATTTTATATGGAGTGAGGTGGGAAGCCTGGTGCTGTTTCTCTTTATACAAAGTAATTCGTATATAGCAATTTATGTGCAAGCAGTGACTTCCTGGATCATGCTGCTGACTTCCGTTCCTGCGTAGCCAGACACATGTGTACAGGAATTAGGGGATGTGGCTGCCAGTGCAGGGAGGAGCCAGCCTACAACTGGGACAGTTGGTAGATCCTTAAACAGTGTATGATCTCTTTGTTTTTTCAAATGACATTTTCCTTCTAGTTCAGAGAGCAGGTTATAGAAATCCTCCTGAAGCCAGCTGTGCCAGGCCCAGTCAGCATGGAGAGAGTGAGAGCCCAGTTTGTTTTTGCACACAAGAAAGGCAGATTATCTTGCATCTTGGGGGAATGAGGAATGTTCACCTTAACAGGAGGAATTTTTAGGATCAGACTCATCTATTTCTTTATTGCTCTCTTCTGCTTGGCTTGTAAAAATCTTGTGGCAGTGAGATAGTATCCACTATTCCTGGAGACCGAAACTGGACCACCATAAAGAAAAAAAAACATTTATGTTTGGCCTTCCTGAACAGTGTAGTGTTTCTCAGATTTGGTGGTTTATCACTTAAATATTGGGAAATTAAAAAGAATGGTGGTGTAGAGGAGAGGAGAGGCAGAAAAAGTATGTTTCTGTATAGAATAACATTGGGGCAATTGGCTTTTAAAAACTGCTGAAAAGGAAAATTAAAAGGAGATTCTGAAGTCTTAAGGTGTCTTAAAGTTGGGTCCCTAGATAAGTGATTTTGTAATATTAAATGAGTTAATAAATATGAGCGAAAGCTAACTGGCTTTAAAAATAAACCTATCAGCATTAGTAAGGGAATAATGTCTGCGTCCTTCTTTCAACCAGTGTTGAAGTTCTTAAAGGAGCTGTTTCATGAAACTCTAGGTATCCCCAGAGAGGCAAGGGCTCTTTGTCTCCTTTGGCATTTTTGGATTTCTCAGAAAAATATCAGGATGAATGGAGAAGAGTCTGTTCATATCTTCAAAGCTTTACTACTTCGAGGTGTTTCGTTAAACCAGTGGCCTCTTGTGGGTGAGTGAATAATGGGAGAAACACTGTTATAAGATCAGGCCCTGGAGTTGCAGATCAGGTTGGTACTCAGGAAGCCTTGCATTTTGAAGGCTGAATACCAAAAGAAGAAAAACAGTCATTTTGGCAGACTGTTTTGTATCAAATTTTGTATTGCCAGTTTTGACAATGTCTGTTAATAATACCAGAATGTTTAAGCAAATATCTCAGAGTGATTCTTCCATACAGACCCCCGAGATTTAGAATTGTTAAATTGTACTTTGAAAGTGTCTGGTGCTGATTTCTTATGGCTTTTTATTTAATTTGTTTATAAATTGAATGCAATAGTGTGTTATCAACGGAGCTTCAGTCCAGCTGTAATCTGAAGCAGTGATAACCATTGATTAGTAAGAAAGGCGAGGAGGGAGCTGAAGCCTGGCTTGCTTATTATAGTGTGTGAGGTATTGGAACAAGCCACGAGATAGTCGCAGGTATAATGCCGAAGGTCCTGGTGACTCGGGCTGTCTAAGTCCAGGCAGGAGATTCAGACCGACCCAGCCAAGAATAGCCCCCGAGAAAATGGCTCTAACACATGGAGTCAAGGATTTTTGTGGAAGAGATTTGTCTCATCATGACTTCTCTTTGTGTCAGGAAATAAACAAACAGCCAGAAATTTAGCTTTCTATGGCCTCTGTTGCTTTTAAAACGGAAAGAAGCAGAACCAGGTTCACACAGTGCCCTAATTGGATGTACTTTTAGGTTGTAATATAACATGTACAGCAGAAGAATGAGTGTAACATGATCCTTGTAATAGAGGAAAAGGACATGGAGAGGTCATTGGATAGGAAGATCTACTGTGAGATGACCAATGACGATTACTTCTGCTGGAAACCTAGTTGTCACAACAGTTAGTCGAAAAGGGACTTGTGCATATAATTCTCATTTTAAAAGCGATTCAAAAGTGGTGTGATTGGGAGTGTGATGAGAGAGATGGTTTATGTTTGCATAATACACACACACACACACACACACAAACACATATGTATATATATATACCTTAACAAAATTTTTCAGACCATTTGACATATTTATATTATTGGCTATTTTTGCCAATTGTGTGGCCTTAGCTATTTACATCCCATTCCCTGAAGATGATTCTAATTCAACAAATCATAACTTGGTAAGTGTCTAAGCTTAGAGTTCCTGATGTGTGGTTATCATTTGCCTCTATACTTAAAAACTGGCAGCTGGCTTTTTGACTGGTTCAAATTTATAGCTATGTATGTGATGTTTCCTGGAGCTTTGCAACAATGTTTTTTTTTACTTATATTTTCAAATTTATACTGAATGAAAGTGTTTAAAGTCATGAATGTTGTGTAAATAGATGTAGAACATTTTTTGGAAGAGGTTTGTAGCAAATTTTTAAATAACTTTCTCTCCAAATAGGCTTTTGTTGTCTACCATTCTTTTCCTGATAATATTAGCTTTTTTTTTTTTCAATTCAGTGTTATGTGGGGGCGGTGGGTACTCTGGTAGTTTTTTTGATAAGTAGAGAATTATCATAGATTTTGTATATGAACTCTTAATTTTCAGAGAAGTAGAATACTTCCTGTGAAGTGCCCAAGATAAAATGATTCTATGGTTAAATAAATTGGGATACTTCCACATGCTTTATTGCCCTCTTAAAGATTTGTAATGCACATTAGCTCAGTAAAAGCTCCAGAAAGGTCTGTAGTTAAAAACCAGTTTTATTTTGTTTAACTCAGCTAGTCCTAAAAGTAATTGGTCATGGATTCTTTAAACATTTTTTGGCAGAACACATCGCAGAACCATCGTTTCATGGATCTTTCTTTAGGAAAGGTTGATATAGTTTAAAAAAAAAAAAAAGCACTAAAGTGGGACTAGGAGCTCATCCCACTCGGCTGTCAGCTAGCTGTATTTTGAGGCATTTCCATATACTTTCTGCATTGCCATTCACCCACCTGTCAATTAAGGGGATTGGATAAGATAACTGGGATTGTTTTCACCTCTGACATTCTGTAATCTTTTCTTGATGATTGAGAAGCCATCTCAGGATTTTTCTAGAGCTGCAGCATCCTTGCTGGGATCAATCTTTTATAATTGGAGGTTGAGCAAATAGGCCAAAGGAGGAGGGGGCCAGTGCCAGATAACAGGAAACTCTCTCCATTGTCTTGCTTTCTCTTCTTTTAGCTAGTTGCACTTGTTTTGGTTTCTCCTGGTGAAGCTGTATATTAGTAGGGCTGGTTGTTCTTGAGTGTCGTGAAGACAGAACTATTGTGGGGATTGCTCTGCCAGGTTCTGAAGATACTGAAATTATGCTTTTGTGCTGTTAGCTATAATGGTTTATGTATAGGATTTCATGTTACATTTTAAAATGTGTGGCATATTTCAGATGTAGCATGATGTCTATTCACCTTCAGGGTTTTCTGGTCTGATTTCTAGATAATTATAAAAACTTGGTATTGCTACTGAAAATACAATTGTAAATGGAAGTTAGATATACATATAAACACTGTTAGTACATATTTATACTATGCTAAAGATTTGCATAATTTTGGATATTTTAAATAGATTCTGCTTTGGTAGTGGACAAGTGACATTAGATGGTCGTTTTAAAGGAAAGGCAGAAGTAGTGAAAAGCCTCCATCAATGGAGATAGATCATCATAGTCTAGGCCACAGATGGTGTCAGCCTTGTTACCAAATTTAACAATGTGGACGATGACCCAGTTTGTTGATTTTTGTGGCTCAAGAGAACATGATTAAACAAACTTAGATAATAAATACCTTTCAGAAAGGCAGATTAATTCAAATCAACGGAATAATTAATGTAGCTGCACATATAGCCAATTAACATTCTGATTTTTCCCAGGGAAATTAGGTGCAATAATGTAAGTATTGTTAGACCATTGGATTTCTCAGCTAATAAGCGAGAGAATAAAATATAGGAGATGGATAAATCTCTCTTCTTCTCCCTGGCAGCTCCTCCCCAGTGGATAATTTCTTGACAATTCTTTAAGAGTAGTCTTTCTTTGGGGGAAGTGGGCAGTGTGTTACTTTGGCCAGCCTTTCTAAAAACCAACATGTATTCCTTTGACCTCTTAATATTCGGAAACTCACAGCATTCGTGTTTGTCTTGTGTTCACTTGGATGGTCACATGGCCAGATGAGTTTATTCTCTGCCTGACTCTTTAAATATTTCCTTTCCTACTGTGGGAAGGGAAGAGCTTTGTGGATTTCCCCCCTGACTCTTAGTAAGGTCCCATGCCGTGTCAGTCCTCCCGCCAGGGAGCCAGGTTTTTTTTTATACATTTGACCCAATTTGTACCCAAGTGATTGCTCTATTTTTGGGATTGGTTTAGAGGCAGCTGAACGAAGCTTATTTTTCATCTGTAGTAAATACCTTTCAGTTAATGTGAATGGCAAATCAAAGGGCAGAGACTGATATGGGTTGCAAAGCTGTATGTATCAGGGAGCTTGTGGTTTTTTTTTTCGTTTTTTTTTTTTGTTTTTTGTTTTTTTGCTTCATAGTGCTGTGGGAAATGTGTATGTTGAATACTTAGGGTAAGATTCGGGGCCAGCTTTGTGGAAGATGGTTCTGCCTTTAACAGGTTGTTTGTAGTAAAATTATTACTTTTCTTGGATGAGAAATGTGGCCATCCCCATTGGTCCAGTGTGTGTTTGGTCTGAGTTGTGTGTAACTCAGCCAGCTTTGGGGATTTAGAAACCTTGGGGCAGCAAGTTTTCCCAGGGTTAGATTTTTTTTTTTAAAAAAAATATAAACAATCTCAAGTTTCTATGTGGCTTACATTTGTGGACTTGCAGGAACTAGTGGAGGCTGAAGCCATGGAAACGGTGCAGCTCGGTTCCCACAGTAACATTTCTCTTAGTTCAGTCAGTAACAGTATTTCTTCATTTTCACTTATTGAAAAGGTATATCATTTACTTAATTTTCTTCATAGCATGGAGATTGGGGGAGCTTGTCTTTATGGAGTGTCAGAGTGGGGATGATTACAATATCGTACTTTATTATGTTGAAAAACGCTTTATTTTGCTTCCCGAACTTGAATTTCTCATAAGCAAACTGATGTGATAAAAGTTTTTAGTTTGTGCAACCTGTTCCTGGTACTCCCCCCACCCCATGACTACTGCCCAGTTCTCTCTAGTGCTGAACTGCCTCAGGTTACAACTCCAAAGCATGGATGCTCATCTGCCACTTCAGACTTTCCTTGAGGTCTGCTAATGACTGCACCCACAGAGGGCAAGGCCTATGGCCCTTTTTTAGCCAGAGTGCCTGGCTCCTACCAGGTGCTCCATAAAGGCTTCTTAAGCTCAACAATAAGTTTCTCTAAGTCTTTGACCCCTTTCTTGCCTCTTTTCTCATTTCGTTGAGGCCAGCTTGTGTTTTTAAGCCTGTCGACATGTTGTCTCTACAGCATCCCTACATTTTTCCCTTCCTTTACGTACACACCACTGTTAGATGACTTTTGCTGGATAAGTGATCTTGAGGCTTCCATGGCTGCCCACTGAGGAAGGGCCCGACTTCATGGCCAAGTCCCCCTTGGCCTGTCTGACCTCCTTTGGTTTATCCTCCATTCCTCTCCTTCGCAGGCCCACCCGTTTGTCCATCATAACTTCTTAAACACTTCCCCCCTACACTTGTCCACCTCCTGGCTTTTCCTCCACTGCTTTCCCCATCTGAAATGCCTCTTTCTAGTGCCCTTTCTTCCCACGTCACTGTCCTTACAGCTGCTCAGGAGCAATCTCAAATGCTGTCTTTTCCATGAGGCCTTTTCTGACTCTGGTCTGAAGTTACACTCTTATCTGAACCTCTCTTGTGGCCCTTTGCATATAAAATACCCTATATTTTAGTTATTTATAATATGCATATCTTGTCTTTGTCTAACCAGGTATCTTCAGAATACAATTCATAGTGAATCATTTTCAATCCCCAACAGTGCCTGGCCTGGAGGTGTGGAATAGATGTTCAGTAAATGTGTGTTGTTGATGACCACCAAGCGAACGACTCTCTCAGGAGAAGCACCTCGCCCATTCTTTCCTCTGAGCCATGTTCAGAATTTTTTTGGGGTGGCAGATTCTTCTGTGGACTCCTTGGAGGTCCTTGGGTGGAGGTGGGTGGGAAGTTGTAAGCATTTATTTCTGAAAAGCATAGGGTCTTGTGACCCTACTTATGCACCTCTGGATGGAGGAGCCCTCAGACTACCTGGTGTCAGAGCTGAGCAGTTTAGCACATTTTGTTTTTGGGAAGCAGTGCTGGCTGTGGACAACTGTCAGGGGGACCAGATACTTCACAATGGCCAGGAACGCCATGGGATAGTCTACTTTGATTGCAGTCTCTCCTCCATGGCTGAGATTCCAATTTACAGTGTTCCCTGGTCTTCAAAAGAAAGTTCGTTGGATCTACATGGTAATATAGTTCAGCATCTCACAGTTTTTACCCATAGGGAGTGGTGTACATTGTAATACTGGAAACACAGTTTCATCACCTGGTTTGTTGGGCTTAGTCTATAAGGTGGATGTTAGTTATGTACCTCATCTATATTGTGTCTTTGCTCTACTGTCTCTCTGTTTGAGTTGCATGCTTTCATTTCTGCGTGCCTAGGCCCTGTCTGCTCTTCCATGACAGCTCATGTGCTCCTTCCTCAGTTTAGCCTTCTCTGATCCTTGTCCTCTTCCCCAGTTCCCACCCCACCTGCTTAAGTGTAAGCACTTGCTTTCCCTTCCACACTACTGTAAGCATGGTAAACTCTAAGCATAGTAAACTCTCCTCTTTACAGATATTAGACCCTTTCTGTCTGATTTTATAACTGCTCTAGGAAGTGGCTTGGTGTGCAGTGGTTCTGCACATGGGCTCTGGGGTCTGACAGCCTGGCTCCTTGACTGAATAGCTGAGTGACTTTGGATGAAACTAGCATATGAGTTACTCGAGACTGAGGTAGGAGACTGATTAGTCTCTATAGCTTTGTAAACTTAACTCTGTGCACAGAAGACACATCAGGAAATGCATGTAGAATAAGTGAATATATAAACGAATGACCATACAAGAGCTCCACAGTATGTCCTTATAAATCAGTAGTTAATTTTCAACAATTGGCTAATGATTAATGTTTGCCTAAGAGGCTGACTTTCATTGTCCAAT